GAGCCAATGTGACTGGAGGAGGAATTCTGGGAGTTGAAGTCCACAAGTCTTAAAGCTGTTAAGTTTGAACACCCCTAGGGTTTTTCCCCTAAAAGGTTAGGGGTGCAAGGATCTTGTAACTTGACAGCTTTAAGACTTTCTCTCTTCAATACCAGAGTTCCTGAGCCAATGTGACTGGAGGAGGAATTCTGGGAGTTGAAGTCCACAAGTCTTAAAGCTGTCAAGTTTGAACACCCCTGGGGGTTTTTCCCTAAAAGGTTAGGGGTGCAAGGGTCTTGTAACTTGACAGCTTTACGACTTGCGTGCTTCAAATGCCAGAGTTCCTGAGCCAACATTTTGGTTGCTAAGCAAGAGCGTTGTTAAGTGAGGTTCACCACATTTTACAAGTTGGCCACGCCCACCCAGTCACATGGCCGGCAAGCCACTCACCCGGTCAGATGGCCAGAAAGCCACTCCCACTCAGTCACATGGCCAGCAAGCCACTCCCACAAAGCAGGCCACACCTACAAAAGAGGTTCTAAAATTTTTTTGAAACCCTCCACTGATCTGAGGCCTTCCGAAATCCTGGCCTCACTGTTTGTACAACCCCAATGTTTAAATTGCAAATGGTGAATAGAGGAACTATTTGTATGTAGTTTACATGATATTCAGCCAAATGGTGGACATTCAGCCAAATGGCAAAAACATTAGCTAAAAACATGGTAAACACTTTAATGAAAATCAGGTTTTGGCCTGAAATTGGCAAAACGTTTGTTTCAAAAGATAGAATGGAAAACTAATTGTATTTCTACATTTCATGTGTGGTGAGAGAGAGAGAGAGAGAGAAAGAAGTAAAATCCTCAATGTTGTCCTTTTTGTTCTTTCTCCAGCTCGGTTTTGCAGTTGGCAATGTAGTTGGAATGTATTTGGCCCAGAACTATGATGTAAGTATTTTTGCTGCTTTTGAAATTATGTTAAGATTTGGAATTTGTGAGCATCGTAGAGTCTGTCAAACGCCAGATGACTCTGAACTCCAGTTCCCATTTTTTTCTGGAATGCGGTGCTCAAAAGTATCAAAGATGATGGGACTTGTTGACCTACAATATCTGAAAGGCTATTGATTTCCTATTTTTCTATGTAACCACAATCCAGCAGCTTTTGATTTGTGTAATAAAGAGAGTCCAGATCAATTTTACTTTCCTTCACCCATTCGTTCATTTCATTCTGTTTCCACGTTAGCCTCCTCTTATATGCACAAACTGTTTGTGATATATTTTGACACTTTTCCATTGAAACCTGCATAACAAGTTTTAGAATAAGAGCCGAGGTGTGCAGTGGTTAGAGTGCAGTACTGCAGGCTGCTACTGCTGACTGCTGTCTGCCTGCAATTTGACAGTTCAAATTTCACCAGGCTCAATGTTGACTCAGCCTTCAATCCTTCCGAGGTGGGTAAAATAAGGACCCAGATTGTTGGGGGCAATAGGCTGACTCTGTAAACTACTTAGAGCTGTAAAGCACTGTGAAGCAGTATATAAGTCTAAATGCTAAATGCTACTGCTATATTGCAACCAAGACTGCTGGACAACCAGAAAATGTATCTCTCATTCACTGAGGAAAAGAATCAAACTCAGATAATACCAAGAGCCCATTTGTCAGATATATCCATTCTACACCACTGTGAGTTGTAGAGAGGGCTGCAAAGCACTGTAAAGTAGTATATAAGTCTAAGTACTATTACTAGAATGCTAGATTTTTCTGAAGTGTTTGTCCCAGAAAGCACCAAAATTCACCTACTTTTCCACAGCTACTAATTCCAACAGCAAAGCTTCAAAGACAGAAATTAAATAAATCCATTTGTGGTCAGTCTTGCAAAGACTCTAGAGTATGGTGCAGACTAGAGTATGGAAAAAGATCCATCCCTGTACATATAATGGATCCAGAGATGACCTTGAATTGACTCTGTAAACTGCAGTCATTCTGATGTTCCTTTATATGCTTATAGGTTCCAAACATTGCAAAGAAGATTGAAGACATCAAGAGAGATGTAGAAGCTAAGAAGAAGCCCCCAAATGATAAATGATGCTGACTATTCAACATAGATGGTGTACTTTAACCATCCAGGTGTCAAAACTTTATTGGCTTTAATGAATGCTGCCAGGCCTGACCACAGAAGGCCTTAAAAGCATTCAGGCTTAGTGTTACTATATCCATGTGGCCTCCTTGCACTTGACTTTTTTTCAAAGAAAAAAAAATCCCATATATATATATATACACACACAGAGAGACAAACTGGACTTTTGTTCTTGTTGTATTGCTTCAGTAATACTTTATATTTAGTAATAACAAGAATCAGGAACAGAATGAAGATACGCCAGTAATTATTCCAATCTAAAAAAAATTAACTCTACAAATATTGGTATCTTATTTGTAAGATAGCAAATGTCTGATAAAAATCTTGTTGCTAAAATATGATCTTTCTATTTTATTTTTGGGCATTCCTGCAACATATATGGTCAGTAAATTGAATGTCAAAATGTTGAGCAGTTCATAGAGGTATGATGCCAATAGGCTTCATTCATTGTTTGTAAAAATTGTAAAAAAAATAATTAAAATTTGAACACCTTAAATATACCTTCATAGAGGTATGATGCCAATATCCTCCATTCATTGTTTGTAAAAATTGTAAAAAAAATAATTAAAATTTGAACACCTTAAATGAATTGTTGTATCAACAAAAATGTACTCATCTTCCAATTCTTAGCTGGTATTTTTGTTAATAATGTTTTTAAGATTTTACCATTCTGGTATAACTAGGAATTGATGGATTCTTGTACTTGCATCCCGATGATGAAAACATGAACCAAACTACGCAAAGTTACTGGCTTGTATCTGTTGAAGCCCTTTCTTGAAACAAAGAAAGATGCATGTATTTAAATATGGTAACTCTCATTGGAAACATTTAAGAAGAGACTGGACAATCATTGAAGACATTGCATTGCCTATATAGGGGGTAAGCATACCTATTGCCCCCTCTAAACATTTTTGTATCCTCCTCTGACTGATCACTCTATTAAATGTTGCTAATGGAAATGCTGATAATTGGCAACAGGGTTAGTCTGATTTTAAAATAATCTATCCCAAATGCAAATCTCCTTCTCTACCGAAACCCTTCCTTACCACAAATATCAAAGGTTTGGCTTCCTAAGGTTGAATAATGGACTAGATAATATGCTTGTGGCCAGATGAACATGGAACCTAGAATGCTAGTTTTGTATCATATGCTAAATGGATTGCCTATAAATTTACACGAGAATTGCTTGAATTTATTGTTTTGGTAAGCAAGTTTTGGTAATCGTAGGTGTGGGGTTTTAATAATGCTCCTATACTATGTTGAGTATGGCTTTATGGATTACCATGTGCATTTAAAATGTGTGTATTATAACAAAAATAAATAAATACTAAAATATTGCTTTTAAAAGGTGTCCAATTGACAGTGATGTCATAGAGAATCTTTTCCCCTTAACTTTTAGTTCTCTGTGGAATTATATTCATCATATCAAACTTGATGGGACTTTTAGGATCACAATAACAAAGGTTCTCTTTGTATTATCATTTGTGAGACCTTGACCATCAGATATAGATACAGTGTTAGGGCATCATTATCAATTGCCTTTTCTACAGAATACAAGTATTTGGGTAAAATTGCTTGATTTCCCGACCAATCTAATTTTATCAGAATTTTTTCTTTCTCTCTTTCAGAGTCTTGTCTATATGGGTAGAGGGAAAAGTGGACTGTTGTCTCAATTAATGTAAATTTTCAGAAAGGAAGATTTTGAGAAAATGCTAATTTTACATGAAACAACATGAAATAGTTCCTCTAGATTGCATATTTGTTACCATTAAATCAATGGAACTATTGCTTTATGTCATGGTCTGCAGAGTTCAGTTTTATAATTCTGGCCATCTTCTGAAATTTACAAATGGAATTTTAAAGAATTACAAAATTCTTTCTCATGTCTGCAAAAATATGAAGGTTCAAACAGTACAAAATACAATCTGGTTATTCACTTCCACTGAGAGTTGCCAGTTTTTCTTTGAATTACATTCTTTCAATTCTACTTAGCCAATACAATTTCTAGGACAATTTTCTTGTGCAACGTATGGAAGAGATAACAGACTTGAATACTAGGAATTTTAGAATAAAAGTATGTTTTAATAAATTAGTGTGTTACCTTTTGGTATACTTTGTGAATTGTACACAGATTATATTATAAGAAAAGATGAAGTAGATCAATGTTTTTCAACCTCAGAACTTTTAAGACATGTGGATTTCAACTTCCAGAATTCCTCACACAGCATGTGAGGTTGAGTAAATAAACAGAAATCCTTGTCTTATGCAGGGAAGTAATCATGGTGCATATTTTATATCCATCCGATGATCTACCTGTCCATTCAGGAATAAGCATATGCAAACTATGTAAATATATGTGGAGTTTGTGAAATAAAGCGATTCAACTTAGAGTAACAGTTGGTAAATTTCACACCTCTTAAACCATCATTTTTTTGTCTTTGAATTATGAATTTGAAGGTAAGAATTAATGAACAAGGATTCAGCTGTTCTGGACTATATGCAGCCTTATTGTTCATTTGATGTTAAATGTCTGGAATTAGTTTTGGGCATGTGATACAAGAAGATAAATACGTTTAGGAATGTTGAGGGAAGGGGGAGAAAGAGAAGGCAACAAATAACACAGATTGATATTAAAATTACTGCTATGTCGTTAGAAAAACAGAATTCTCACTGGACAAAAGTCAAAATGACAATTCATGCTATCAAAGTCGTTGAACCTCAGCTGATCACATCAAAATAATTTTATATTCATAGCCTCTTAAAACAGTCAAATACCATAGCATGTATTGATAGTCCTTTTTAATAGCAAAAAAAAAGTTTTTCCTTATAAAAGTTAATACATTTGGACAGAAATATTGGCATTTGTGTATGCATCTGTTGCTAGACTTGTGTACCAAATTTTAATTTGGGAAATTTAAACTGGTATCTACCCATATAATTTTTCAATAATCAAATCAAGTGTCCTAATTATGCAGGAAAGTTTTATTTTGTTCTTTTATTTGCAAATTGTTTCCATTATGAAACTTATTTATTTCTAATCACTTATTTTAATAACCATAAAGTATTTATTTTTTTCTTCTCTATTATTTCCAAGTAATATGCAATACAAGCTTTTGCTGTGTATTATGGCTGGGTTTATACAATACTGAATTATATTCTGCTTAATTGTATTTTGTTAAATTGGCTGGGTCCATGCATCATTTATTTATTTTCAATTTATGATGCATAATAAAGGAAATACTAACCAAGTCAATATTGAAAACGTGTTGAAAATGACACACCACTGGTTTCCATATCACTCAGCAGGAGTGTTGTTTTGTTGCTGTTGTTTAACTATTGTTATTCTGATTAATTCTCATTTTGAGATAAAGGGCAGGCCACAATAATGTTACCAGTAATATTATTTTTCTCAGCCCTGACCCATTTTTATCTATAGTCAAAGGAATTCTAAATCGCTCTATATAAAAGCCAAATACCACTCACTCATCATGAAATCCCCAGAACCGTAAAGCCTATACTTGAAATTTGGTACATATGTTGTTGATATAGGTTGGTTTCCAGGTGCTCCCTAAGGGAGGATTTTTCGAAATGACCATCAGACCATTAGTATTTCATATACAGTATTATATTCACACCCTCTGATGCTAAGGAGTTACACATTCTACTCCCCCTTTCCACCTGAAAGGAACTCTGTTCCAACTGCCAGTTGCCTCACATTC